GCTGGCCGGATGATGGTGAGTCTGCAGGCCTGCCTCACGGACTTGATCGACAAGACGAAGGACAAGGTCGTGTCCCCGACAGTCATGAGTGCCATGCGGTCCTTGGAGAAGGTGTACGAAAGTGTCTCCACAGCGGAGGTTCGCCTGAAGAAGCTCTGCCTCTGGAAGAAGAACGATCTGGATGGCACACCTCTTACCGATGCCAGCTTGAAAGCGATTCTCAAGGGTGTGTCAGCCACGTTGAACGAGAGCCAAACGTGCATCGGTATGGCGAAATCCGTCAGCCGCGATTTGTGAGAGATCTGCGAGGCTTCGACCTGTGATCGCCTGTCTTGTGTCAGACATGGTGAGCAAAGATTTCAGAGATCCGAGGCTTCGGCCTGTGCTCGCCTGTTTTGGGTCAGACATGGGAGACGTGATCTGAGAGATCTGAGGCTTCGGCCTGTGCTCGCCTTTCAGGGCTTGAGCTGTCAAGTTTTGTAGCTTTGTAAACACCCAGGAACCGAACCGTTGCACAGCAGCCTGTCTGTGCTCTGCAGTGTCTCACCCATAAGAGGTGCACTGGCACGTCTCCGCTTTGTGCTTTGAGAGTTCTGTTATAAGTGTTTTAGCAGCAGCTGTTTTTAATTTGCATGGGGTTTGTTTCTAAAGTTTCTTTCTATAGTTGCAAAGCGGAGACAGGCAAAGGGCTTGGGTTTCGACTGGAAGCCTGTTCAGAAGTGCAGGGTGCCAACTCAATCGCTTGGAAAATGTGTTTTGCTAGAGCTGTTGTACCTGCTAGGGCAGCGGAATAAATTCACTTCAGGGGCCATGCCCAGATGTGCAGGAGCAGAGATTCCAGCTTCTTTCACATCTGCAGGGTTCTCGGCTCAAAAGCGCCATTTTGCAGCCATGGCTGAAAGGACCAAGATGCTGAGTGGTGTCACGGTGGCTGCCCTGCAGGAGAGCATGGGCAAGGTGCTGGACAAGTTTGACGGGATCAAGTTTTTCATGAGCGAGATGAAGACTGTGAATTGGTCGACTGCTCCCTCCAAGGTTTGCAAGGCAATCCACAACCACGAAAAGATCCTGGCTGCGATCCTTCTAGTCGCTTGCAATGGCATCGTGAGCAAGTCGTTCATGAAAGAGGTGGTGCAAAATTTGCAGAACACCTGCCGGTTGCCAGCGACCATAGACGTGGATGCTTACAATTCAGCCCTACGAATCTGCTTGTCCAAGCTTCGTGATGCAACGTCCGAAGACGAGTTTCGGAAAATGACAGTTAGGGCATCGGCCGAAGAAGTTGCCTCTGTCAAGAGGTTGCTCAAATCCCTCGAGTATCGCGGCCGGAGCAAGACCTTTCTGAACAAGTTCCCCGCTCAGGAACGAGCAACCACACCCCCCCGGGCAACGAAGGAGACAAGCATCACGACACCGAAGAAATCCATGCTCGCGATCACGAACGACCCGGCTATGGCAGACTCTCCCTGGCCGACTTTCTCCAATCTTGGCAGTGAACCCTCGTCGCCTGCAGCTGCTAAGAAGACACCGTGCTCGCCTCCAGCTGCTAGGAAGACACCTTCCTTGCCTACAGCCCCTGCGACGACACCGCCGAGGACATCACGTGTCCAGTTTTAGTCAAGAGAAATGGCCCTACTAGGTAAAAAATTTTTGTTCCTAGCTGCATCTCCACAAAAAAATATATTCTGGCGATACACGTGTGCAGTTTGTTTTGCGAAAGCCTGTGCTGCAAGCTTCTTGGCTGTAATGTTCCAGGAGACATCTCGGAAAAAGCATGCTATGCCTGCAGCGACACCGTCGGTATGCTGACATAGGCGAAGCATCATGGATTTCACCATGGACGGAACAGCAAGGCCAGTCCAGAAGTCAAGCCCTTGCAGCGAGACCTGCGGTCTGCTGTGTAGGGACTGCAGCTGCAGCTCTTTAAAAAGACTGTGCTGAATCCTTTTAGTGAGGCCCCATGTGTAGGCACCCATGTGTAGGCATCGAGTCTAAGTCATGTGAGCAGCTTTTGTTTTCATTTTTGACCTGGCAGGACCCGCGATCGCACCCGATCCCCTGTACGGCCAGCGGTTCATGTGCCTCCACATCGAGAGCCCAGTTTCAAGCAGCTGATGGACCAGGCTTTGGCAGAGCTGGCGGTTTCCCCGAAGAAGAAGCCGGCAGCACAGGTTCTGAAGAAGCCCTCTGCAAAGGTCGTCGCTAAGCCGGACCCGGAAGCCCAGCAGAAGAAGCCAGAGAACACAGAGAAGCCAGAGAACACAGACAAGACCCTGGAGGAAAAGGCGGGATTTTCCATATTTCTCTATTCTGAGTTCTTCCGACAGTATACTGGCAGAATTTTCTATTGTATACACCTATAAAGCTCGCTTCTATTGACCCTGCACATGCACAGGCCATGGATATCGTCAAGGAGAAGCAAGCTGCTTTCCCCTGCTGGAAGGACACCGACATGCCCTTGGAGACCTACTGCAAGAACATGGCATCCCGGATCTACGGTGGCATCATGTGTCGCCTGTGCAAGAGCAATGAGAGGAGCAAAGTGCAAGCACTCGCTCGGGAGCATCATTGCAAAGAGTTGCACCGCTTGCGAAGCAAGTATGATTCTAGCCGTGCTTGATACATGGTCCTCTAGCATATGCGGCACCGGTGGAGTGGCTTGGATCGGCAGAAAAAAAGCCCTCTTCTGCATGCAAGCATCTTTGCAGTCTTTGGCAAAGCTCGTAGACTTGGCAGGACCCTTTGAAGATCTGACACATATCCTAGGCTCTAGGCAGTCTCATAAACAGATCCCGAGCTCTTGGGCCAAGGAATATCTCTCCCGAAAGATTGCGAGATTTAGGCACTCAGAACCCTGATCACATATTTCCGCCTCGAGGTTGCAGGGGAAATTCAAGACTACAGCTGCACTTTGCAATGTAAGTCTCAGAGGTTTCAGTATCTTACTTGCTTCTGTTCGTTCATGTTGAGCAGCTCGAAGCCTTAAGTTCGACGTCAGATGTTTTTATCTTCGACCTAAGAAATAAGTTGTTTCTGCAATGAAAATAAGTTATTTCAAAATAACTTATTTTGTGGAAATAAAAAATAACTTGTTTTAAATAACTTATTAAATAACTTATTTTACAAACAACATATTTACCTTAAAATAATATATCTATGCTATTTTAGCATAATATGTTATTTTAACATAATCGGAGCC